TATAGTAGTATCTAGTAAGGTTGATAGACAATTCAGAATGATTCTTCAAGAGAAGTGTCATCAAGGAAAATAAAACATTTTATGATCTTATTTTTTTTAAATTCTTATAAAAGATATTTTACATTTTTATAAAATTACAGACGCTACTTTATTTTAAAAGATAAATATTTTTGTGAAGGTATAATTAAAGAAATGGAATAAAGTTCAATGGACATCCGCAGATGCCAATTCTTCAAGATAGTTTCTTTTTTTTTTTTCTTTCTATAGATCTATATTTTCAATAGTAAGCGCCCTCTTTAAAACATTTTAGGGCCTGGGGCTCTCTCTTTCAAATGTGGAAAGATCGAATTACAAAATACACACCTGGAAGCAGGTTTGTGGTTTGTTCAGAAAAACCACATCAAGAGCTTCAGTCGTGCAACTTATCTACTTCTAACAGGATCTACAAATTTCAAGGTGAGATACTTCGAGTCATTTTTAATTTAAATGTCGTATGTATTAATANGATAAAGACAGATATGATGGATGGCGCTACACCGTCCATCGAGTCTGCACCTCTTAACAATGTATTTCTCGAGCTTGGTTGGACTCGCAATGCATCCGGTTGAAGTAGTATAAGAGTTAAGTTAGAGACGCTCATATTCCTACCAAAAACTCGGTGAGGTCCCTGAAATTCAGGTGAGAAAGTCACTTTGACCACTGAACATAGGCCATTCAAAAAAAAACTGCAGATAATCAATAAAAAATTTAAAGCATTTAATCCTATTAGAAGTAAAGATAATCGAAAAGATTAATTGAATAAATTCATTATCTTCAGGACTTACTTCGGAAGCGTGTGACGAATGTTGGCAGAAAAAATAGGCAAAAAAACCATACTGACGTCATAACCGAACGAAAATTTCACACGTGCGCCTCTCATGAAACTCATATTTCACCCTATTTCGACAAATCCTGTTGGATACAATAGAAAACGAATAATGGCCAGACATGTCCAGTAAGGTAGCTGGTGATAATCGCTTCCGATACGCTATTGCCAGATGGGCGCCATTTTGTCTTTCCGCGTTCCATCCCACTCGGAATTTGTCTACTCATCTAACAATAAAGTTGATCCAGTGATGTCATCACTTCGGTAATTAACCGAAATATGACTAATGGAACGATGTTAAGATCAATAAGAGTTCGGCAATTATATCAATACCATTACTACGGTACTACTATAATAATAATAATAATAATGTTTAACTTCTGAAAACACTCATGTGTGCCTATATATCTATATATTTATTTTTTTTTCTAGAAAGATCCAGAAAAGCGGTCATAGTTTACGGAGCGTAAAACGACCTAACACTCGCGAAACAAATGAGGCATAACAGTATGGGTGCTTTGAGCTGGAAAATATCGGAGATGGATCACATCCAAATCAAAAGAGGACTCGTTACGCCTTTATCGGCTTCTTTGATAGTTGCGTAACTGTGTTTTGTGTCCTCCTTTGCATCTGCCTCCTATGCAGCAAAGGAAATAAAAAAAGAGAAAGTCGTCCTGGTTGCTATCCTCCGGTGTGACGAAATGTTCTTGATCCGTTGCATCTTTTTTCATCTCCAACGATTTTACGCTAAAGTCGCTTCTTTTATCATATTTATTACACACTCGACTTTAAAAAAAATCCGTTAAGGTTCAGTTTCTAGCAATAAATTACGATAACAATGTTTTATCTCAAGCACACAATGCACGAAACGAACACAGATTTAAATCTAGTTATCCCGGAATTCTTAAGCAACGATTCATAAAATTCTTTCTAATAAGAAAAAACTATTTTTTAAATTTTATATATTTATTAAATTTATAAACTTCTCTCGTGTTTTAATTGTGTTTTACAGAAAAATTTTGATAGTACGTTTACTTTTCAAGAAATTTTAATTATCTTGAACATTAACTCTTAACATTTTTTTGTAAATTAAAAGTATATACATCTATTAAACTGTTAAACAATTTAATTTAATTTTTTTAGTTTTCTTAGATAGAAGTGATGTTAAAGTCAAGCCTATGAACAACGACCACTGACGGAAACATAAGAAATAGCCGTTGTTCAGAGGTTATTTTATTTACATTCCAAAAGGAAACGTTCCTGAAAAATTGACCGTTATTAGAAGTTCAAATGTAATTACTTTAATTTTTTCTTCCAATAATGCTTGAAATAATCGTGCATATCGATGTAAATTATCTTAAGCAACAATTCTCGAAAGTTTTTCTATTAATAATTAATTCAAAAATTCTGTAAATTGATTAATTGTAAACATAAATCGTATCTTTAATTCTGCATTTTTCCGAGAAACGACAAAAATGTACGATCTTACAGCTTACATTAATAATTTCCAAAACTTTCCTATAATAGAATTAATTTAAAAAATTCGTCCTATTAATTCTCCATTGATTTTTTAATTAATAATTCATTCTTTTAAATCTAAATAACGTTCTGAATTCTTGAAATGAAAAGAATATGAATTTTAATTTTAAAAAATGAAATCTAAATGATTAAATATTTAAAAGCTTTAAATAACGATTTTAACTAAAATAAAAGCTTTTCAAAAGATTGTTAAGAGGCAAAATAAATAAATATTTCATTAAATATTACACTAGTTTTATCTCTTTCCAATATACGAATCTCGATAATTTCAACATAAAAATATCAAACTACGCATTAAACTTTTAGCAAATTTACAAAACATAGCAGAAACATTAGCATTTTTATTTTGCATCACAAAAAAAATTTACAAAACAATACGAAAATGCATAGATTTTGTCTATTTTCCTACTATTTATTACCAACATTTACAATTATAATTAGAGCAAACAAATTTTAAAGATGTAATTATGAAACGATATCGATTCTATAATTAGCGATACATATTGCCATTTATTCATTAATTATGTTAATTAATAATGAGGTTAATTTAAATAATAATCAACGATATCGATTTGTATCCATCCCAACTCGGAAAAAGACGTCAGAAGTGACATCGCAACCGTTTTGCCCATTTGTACAGAATAAAAGAATCTACCTAATATGTACAAGCGGTATAATAAATCAATGCTGGTCCGCAACTAAATAAATCAATCAGAGGCAGCATGCACAGCTGTTGCAATATTATTCATGAGAAAAGCAGAAGAGTCATAATCTGTGCCATTGTGATGCAACAGGGTAGTTATTCAGATAAATACTTATGTTTGTCAACAAATTTCTACCGTTTATTATTGACCCAAGCCTCATCAATCATGTGACCCGTCCTAACCTTTACATTCTCTTCCTGTCGCAGTTGTGGTTATGCTGATTGATTTCATTTCTTTTTGCAATAGAAATGATGTTTTATGCTATGCATTCTGTGCAGAGTCATAATACAAATATGAAAAAAAAATTACTTTCTTAATAAATAGCAGTAAAAATAAATTTATTATTGTATATTTATGAAGAAAAAAAATTATTTTTAACTTTATTTAAATAAATATTGTTTTGTTTTTAATATTTAAATTGATTTTTTATCATAGGAAACTGATAGACTTTATGAAGTAAGGATTTATATGATTATCTCACAATCCGCTTGTAAAAAGTTTAGGATATAGAAATATAGATTTAATATAATAAAAATAAGAGTATTCCACAATAAAATCTTAAAATTCATTATGATCTCAGCATAATCAATCTATTTTTCAGTACTTAAATAATAGTAACAGGATCTAATACAATATTTATAGAATATTTAGGCAATATTCAATATTTTTCGTAAGAATTATAAATATTTTTAGTTAATTTAGACCTAGATTTTAAAATATCCCTTAAAAAAGAAGAAAGAATTTTCTTTTGTTGATAATAAGATAGTTTTTGCATTAATTCTTTACGTTTTGTTTCAAGAATTTATTCAATATTTAATTAGTTTACTTTATTAAATACAGTAAATATGAACTTTTTAAAAATTTCAGTATACATAAATTTAAAATAATGTCTATAGGAAAATATAAAAATTAAAACAGTATATTAAATTTACAAGAAACCCCAATAATTCGCAAAGCTGAAAACGTTATTATAAAATTAAGTTTTTTTTTTTTAAATTCACTTTTAAATTGTTTATTTGTTTTTATTTAAGTTTTAAAATGCTTTTAAATACCTAAATAAGTGTTGATAGTTTTTAAGGAATTAAGCTATTATTGTTGATCGGGATAAACTTTCTAATTAATTAAGAAAATTAACTTTAAAATTAGAAAGAATTTAAATAATTTCTGTATAAATATTAATATCAAGCATTGATTTAAATAGATCATTTTTTGGAATTATATATTACTGTATAATCTTGTGTTAATTTATTAGTGTTTTTAGTTTACAATTAAACTCAAAATACAAAGTTATAAGTGAAAAAAAAATAACCAGCTTAAAATATACCAATAAATAATTTTATTTATATTTTTTCATTATTAAATGTAGTATTTATAAGACATTATATCAACACATCACAATAAATCTATTTATGATAGTCATAGACGAGATTGTTCTCATTCGCAAATTCCTCATGAATCTACATTATGTTTCTATAAGGCCTATTCGTTAATGATATTCATTTCATTCAGAAACTTTTATTTGGACGTTTTAAATCTTGATAATTTTTTAAAATTGTATTTAAGGCTTGATACCTGAGTTATAAATTAAAACAAATTAAATAAAAGTTAAAAGAATGATCACATTGTACAGGCAATAACAAAGAGATAACTACAAAAACTTAGTTTGAATCAAACAAATAATCTATTTTCGGCATTAAAATATATAAAATAAATCATTTCGCGAGCTATTTCTATACATCAGATTATTATTAGATTAAAATATATAAGGAACTTAACATTTTTAAGGCCTCTGATAAGTGATATGTATACTATCATTTCCTTATACAACATCTCAATTGTATCAATCAGATCCTTTAAAAATAATTTGAAAATTTGATTTATACACTAAATATTTTTAAAGTTCTCTAAATAAAAATTTAATGTACAATACAAATAGAAACAAAATTGATTTCTTTACATATTCCATTTTCATTTTTTTTAAATCAAAGGAGTTCAGATTTTAAAATATCCGGTGAAGAAGCTTCGAATAATTCTACACCCTCCGAAGTACTACATACAATTGATTCAGAATCAGTGCTAGATGTGCTGTTCTTCACAGTGGTAGTAGGTATATGATCAGAGTTACTTTTACTTGCTGTTGAACTTCCCGACGACCTTGAACTCGAACATGTACGAAGAGCGCAACGACAACGATGATCATAATTGACCTCCTTTTTATATTTAACTCTTCGATTTTGGAACCAAATTTTGACTTGTTTTTCTGATAAGTTTAAATAAGATGCTATTTCGATACGTCTGAGACGAGATAAGTACATATTTGATGCAAATTCTCGCTCCAGTTCTAGTAGTTGAGTACTGGTAAAAGCAGTTCGAATTCGTTTGCTGCTTGACATATCTTCTTGAGAAGATTTGCTTGAGTTTCCTGGTAAAATATATAAATAATTTCATGAAAATTTATCGAAAAAAGTCTTTATTTGTATTTTATGTAAACATTTTATCTATTAATAGTCTAAAAATAATCAAAAATGAACTGTAAATTATAATCTAGATTTACTTTTTTTGTTAAATTTGATACGATTTTACATTAATACTTTACATAATTTAAAAATTATTTTTAATTTAAGAAAAGAAAACAATAAAATTACTCAAAATTAATTATTATTTTATTTGTGAGCATATTTTGGATATTTATTTCTTCCTATAATTTTATCATCATAAAAACCTCGAGCATTAAAGATTACAAACAACAAATTAATTAAAACATTGATCTAAATCAATTTATAAAACTTCTAAAATAATTTTTAACAATGCTTTTCTTTCGTGCTAAATTCAAATAAAGGATATTCCTCGAAACAATGTTTATAAGTTAGTTGTATTAGTTAAAATCCATGATAAAAATAAACATATTAGTCTATGTCTAATAGAATATGACATTTTAATATTTAATAAACAGAAGATAAAATCAAGTTTTACCGTAATTTAACCTTGATAAAGATTGATGAGAAGAGAATAAAAAGTATACAAATAAAAAATATTTTCAGTAGTTGACTTATAAAAAATTAGATGCGGTCGAAAAATACAGATCGCTAAAATATTTAACTTATGCTCAGTAAATTATGTTTTTCTATAAATTTAAATAATTAAAAATGTTTTGAATATGTTCAACGTGTAAAATTCCCCGGGGACATCCATGTAAAGACTACAAAATTACAAAATTTCTCTCATTATTTCATAAACCGACAACTTTCATTCTACGTTGCTTACGACATGATCTTTAATTTATTATAAATTGATTTATTACCTTTAATAAAAGCGCATTTTACCGAATGAACTAGTGAATATTGTATGACTTTGGTTAACCCCATTCACGCAAGCTACTTTGCTCTCCGTCACGCAAAATTTCACGCTAAACTGAGTGACAAGCGGTACCAAACACAGAAATAGAATAAAATTATATCGAGACTCACCTTTATCATCGTATGAACCCGATGTTATTTTGCTACCCTGATGAATCACGTGACGATCTCGAACTTCTTGAGAAGAAGGCGAAGTTTCTCCCGTAGACAGAGAAGCATAAGGAAATGCACACCTCAAGGATTGAGATTGATTCGATTGATTCCTACCGTTGCTAGAAACTACGTTGTTAGTTGTCTGAATACAAATTGGACAACAGTGTATGCCTAGTCCTTTTTTTAAATAGCAAAGGCCTTGGTGATGAGCGGAACGTTCGAAGAAGTTAGTTTTTCGTGGGTAAGCGATCCAAGGTGTTCTTAAAGTATTAATAAGTTTAGGTTCTTCCGGAGGGTTACTTAATAAAGAATCCACTAAAAAAGAACGTGACATCCTCCTTTCAATCCTTTAGTATACATGAAAATGGTGAAGTTTTGTAGTTTAGTCCCTCTTCTGCTATACAGTAAAGCTCATCAACAGTTCACCAATAGCGATCGTTTTATCCGTGATGGGAGGAGCTTGATTGGTTCAATCTTCTCGTAATTGGTTAGTACATTGAAAATCCCTCCTTTCCCTTCGTGTTTAGAATGATTTTTTTCCCTTTTTATCTAAATCCAATCTGATGGGTTCTGTTGTGTGTTTAGTTGTGAACGGATTGTTGTATTATGATACAGACTTCAACAAAGAAATGTGATCTAGGGCCTGGGGCTGCTTTTACTATTGGGAAAGTTCATCGACAAGCTTTCTAAGGGATTAGGACTTTTTAAAAGGCTTTTCAGTCGAAACTGAAACCGTTAATCCTAGATTTTTATCCTTATCTGATTCGTTTCAGATCAGATAGTGTTATCTCTGTTGGCTCTTATATCTTCATTAAATTGTAAAATAAGTATCCTTCGTTTGATGTTTGGTTGTAAACATGCCATTTTTAAAATGGGTTTTATTTACCTTTTTGTGTTTATTTTGGATATAATTTATTTAATAAGATGATTTTTTAACATGCTATTATACAATTTGATATACGAGATTGTTCTCATTCGCAAATTCCTCATGAATNCAATCGATGGAAAAAGTGAATGGTCCAAATTGGTTCTTCCTCCTTGACAGCTTTATCAAAATAGAAAAAAAAAAATTATATAAAGTAAAATCCATATAGCCCGAAGCCAAACTAGCCATCTGCATCTATTGAATGCAATCCTAATGGATGGGTAATGTTCCCTCCATTACTCGCCGGATTGGTGCAGGATAGAGGCGTGGTACCCCCTACAAAGACACATTGAGCAGGCTCATCGCGGGAAACAGGACACCCCAAGTTCCCAGAATGCCCACTTCTGCATGTCCCACCTCCTCAATCCCTTAATGATAGGTTGGTGCTGGTAACTCTTCGCACCTTTCTGCTCCAGACGGATATTTGTTTTATTTCTAGTGTCCGGTGTATGGTTACTGGCTGGTGTGGTAAAATCTTTTTTCACCCTCGACAGTTATTGGTGATAATACCAGGTGGACTTCTTCGTCTTCTCGTATTGGTGACAGATGGAAGCTTAAATTGCTCACGAGAGGAAAAAAATGGGATTAAAGCATGAATTATTAATTTCGGATTATGTCCTGTTTCGAAATTAGTTTTCTAATCTTACGCAGATTATAAAGTTATTACGTGCAATTTTTTAAAATTGTTCCTCACGCAGTTTTTACGCCTTGTAATTCGGTTTTAATTAAAATAAATTTGACTTTATTTTCAAAATTTTTGAATTATTATAGAGCCTTATCACATACACTAATTAATTTATAAAAGCAAAAAATTAATAAAAAATTGGAAAAATTACGGAAATAATATTGATAATGAATGTGGAAAAACTAATCAAAATAATAAAATTAGGAAAATGTAAATATACAGTTTTATAGTATTTAGTTTAATTTTTTTAATGTCTATTTTTCTTAGGTAGGAACATAGTCTTAAATTATTTTGCTTAAGGCACAGAGGTTACTTGATTCTAAGCCACTTCCTCTTCATCATCTAGTCGAATTATTTCAAAATTTAAATAATTTTATTAAACAGAAAGTAGTTTTTTTGAGTAAGGTTACGTTACAGTTGATAAAGAATAAAGAAAGAAAGGTAAAAAGAGTTTATGAGAAAATAACAGAAAATTATACTATTTAATAACTTTACGTCGTTTCACCACTATTAAAATTAGATAATCTGTAGGCCTATACCTCAGTACTCTAATCTATCTCAGGATTATATTAGGATTTTAACTCATATTTTTTTCACGTTTAAAATTTAGGAAGTTCTTAAATTTTAGCATTTCTTAAAGCATAACTTATTCCTTACAATGATTTTATAGACAATCTTTAACCTTACAACCTAACTTGAGAATACGTATCGAATTTGAAACGAAGCTTTAATTAAAATAAAATTATAGCTTCAATACGTCTATGCACTTTATGTAATTAACTTAATTACAATTAATTTCCTTTCTAGTTTAATAAGGCTTAATTAAATAAATTTCAAACCTAAATTTTATTTTATTTAAATTATCAGATAAACACCTTAATAGACAAGAGGCCTAGATAATAACGTAATCAAATAGGATGTAAATATATTTATAGTAAGGTGCACTTTTATCCTACTCTTCTATTATGCGTTTTATACAAATTTATATACAATATTTATCTATGTAGTTACTGTAAAATTACCTTAAATCAGCTGAAGAGCCTCGTAAATTTTTGAGTTATCTTCAAATTATTAACTCGAACAAGATAATATGAACATAAAATTCATGTAGATAATGTTAAAAGCGATTAAACTAGCATAATCATGAAGTAATCATTTCAAACCTTTTACCTACTGTTTGTCCCATTCAAGCATTGAACAAACATTTGTGCTCCTTCTCTCGAGAGCACCTCTTCTCTCGATTGCTAACAAATTCAAGATGATTCTAACCTAGATATCTTTTCCGTATTTTAACTCCAGCTGTCTGTTAAGATAGTTAATTGCACTTTTTAATGATTTATAAAATGTCTAATGTGAGTAAAATTGAAACAATTACTAACTTATTACGCTTGTATAAGTCATACACGTATAATAAGCATCGCCTAGGGTATTGACACCTTAAAAGAGGAAGAGAGAGAGACATAAACTTAAAAAAGGAGACCCCTTTGAGGAGAATAAAGGAAAGGGTAGGAGCACCTGGTCTTTTCATCGCCTTATTATGGTAAGTTTAATATGGAAATGTGAATTTATAGATGTAAAGTTGCGCGACTGATTTATGAGTATCTTTATCAGGGTGGGCACATTATTGAGAATGTCTGCTCAACCATCCAAAGCTAGCACAACTACCGACATGTGTCGAGACACGACTATAACTTGTCTACATAGCCTACCTTTTATTATCACACATCATGCCAATGTATATGCTTCTTCCTGCATTATTGAAGGTAAAACATAATTTTCCTTTTCAGTTAACTTTATTTAATATTCAATGAATATAAGTTTAAAAAATTCTATCTTTAGTTCTTCTAACTCATTTTTACATTCTAAAATTGTTCAATTAGTTTAAATTAAAGCGCAAAATCTATCAAATTACTGTAAAGTTTACTGCTAAACATACAGGAACTGGACTTTGGTAAAAGTAAGCTTGTTAAATTCAACTATAGATATCTTTAACTTAATGTTTTTTTATTTAAAAATGACGTTTTAAAATCAAATAGTGACATTTGATGATTGTCGATTCAATGATCTTTACATTTGCTAGCATAAATATAGCAACTAGCATAATGTGTATGCTCTTTCGGTCCCAAATTACATAATCCATTTGATGGTCTGGCTAAACTGCAACCCAATACCCTAGCTCATCTATCTCTTCATTAAACATCATTCAGTCCAGCTGCTCCGTGTCACTCGGTATATATCGAAGGGGGGAGCTAGCGCAATCTGGAGTTGTTTACCCTTTCTCACCCGCATTTATCTATTAGCAATGCACTTCTAACGCGATAACTACTTTTTGTTTTAAAATCTGTTAATATAATAGAGGAGAAAGGGCTCGGAGAGTAGGATCCGTCTCTCCTGTCACCACCTTGGCACCTCCAAGTTTAGCCCCACTCCGTCCGTCCTCCTTCTTCTTTAAGTAGCGCAGTCGGTCTGGCTATCTATCGTTGCTAGTTGCGAGGGGTGTTTATCACCGATCGCATCTGCCTCTCTCCATCTACAGTACAGAACAACCAATCAGTCGAGCGGGTTTCGGAGCGCTCGGGTTAAAGAGCGTCAAACTCTTGTACGATTTTCGGTCGCACCTGGCAAACGTTTAGATTTAAAGTCCCAAATCGCTCATTGATGGAACCACAAGTGGGTCGGGAGCAGGTGCACCCTTTGACGCCTCGTTCTGCACCGTTTTCCGTTCAGTAGACCTCTCACGCACTGATCGCAGTGCATCAGACACCTGCTTCGATCTTGTGGATCGGGACGTAAATGGTGAATGTGCCGTTTACCTCGTACAAAAACACAGTGAATATGTAAGGCCCAATGGTAGATCCGAATTTTGAAAGGGGTGCCGTCAGCTTATTTGCTCACGAGTGGATCGGAAGGGAAGTGATTTAAAAATGTATTGTGTGTGTGTGTGTCTGATAGATATCGTTGACTAATCAGAATCCCTAATAACTTATTCCCGTCTAGACTGAAAGGGGAAGAAAAGTTTGGAGTAATTGAATGCTAAGCTAACCAAAGGGGTTAGTTAGAAAGGGATCTCGATGAAGCCGCGTGCGTGGTTACTGGAGACCATCTTTTTGGGGGCTACAACGGGGTTTTTACGATCATCTCTCACGTGTCGTTGTGTTCTCACTCCCTTTCCTTTTCATTGCTAACGGGGTAAAGGTGGTGCAGCATTGCTAGGAAAGGGGTGCAGGTAAGGGTTTGACACGTGCCTCATGGCTACTGGTCTTTGCCAACCTGGTCATGTTGACTGGCTACGCGTGCTGAATGACATGTAAATCAAGTCGATCGGCCAAATGAATATCGAATGCAAATATCCCGAGAACGTTGGAATATTTTATGGTTCCTCCGTTTAATTTTATTGCGCATAAACTGATTAAATTTATTCTTGCAGATTTATAAAGCTGCTAAACTCGTAAGCATTTCCGCGTCATCACATTTGATATGTGTTGAAAGGTAGGCTACTCAGTTTAACTGGTTTTTTTTCTTCTTTTGTATCGTTATCTTTTCTAATTTGTTATCACTCTGTATGGAACCAGTCAAAATATTAAAATCACATTCTTGATTCACGTATTGCTACAAGTTTAGAAAATGTCACTGAATAAACCTCTTTACAAATCTATACTGTAAATTTCATATTAATTTTTTTATTTGTCTGAATAAATTTTGCTA